ATTTTGTATGATATATAGAGACAACTAGACAAAAGCCCTCGTAGACTCGTGGAGCCCATCGAACGCAGCCCAGGAGTACGCCAGCGAGTACTAGCAAATCGATCCGATAAATAATACTAAATAGGGAGCAGTTGTTTCGAAGGGCCGAATCTCACAGGGGCAGCAACAAAACTTAGTAGTGTTGCTATTTCCCCGCTGCTCTCGTCGCCATTTTTTTCCTTCCCGAAGCAACGCGGCCAAGTGAACCGGCCAATAATTGGTCAGTGTAGTTGGCTCAATTATGGTCACGTCGGTCGTCGGAGTGACCACGCTTAGAGTGATCAGCTCTGCAATAGACGCGAACTCAGCGGCTTGGAAACGAAAGGCGCAGTTACGGTAGATCAATAACAACGGGAAATACGCTGCACCCAGGACGGAGACAGCCATCATCAGCCGTCAATTATATTAGGGTATAGCCCTGATGGAAAAACAGAGGGCCGTTACGATGTGTGTGGTATTTTTGTCATTTTTTTGATGTTGCGCGTACTTTGTTTGTGTCAGTCCGACGATAAAAAAGACAGAACACTGTCTCAATGCAAAGTTAGTGTTTGTGCGTCGAAATTTCCGTGTACGTATTGCCCGACTATTTAATGAGGTAAACTTTTTCTCTGTGTTTAGTGCCATAATTGTAAGTTACAAAATATTACAGACACAAGCTATATAATAGCGTCCTCATTCATGTGAATCGATAATAACACAGACATTACTCAAGCGTAAGATAAATGTACCGGACTTGATTTTATAGTGCGCATAGAAATTATTGGACGTTCTGAGGAAGGAAGCGGAGTTCTGCGAAATCTCTCTATCTCATCGTGAAGGCTATGCGTTTAGCTAGACCAGACTGGGCCATTTGATAAGCTTAGCTAAGATCCGTATCCGTTTGGGTAAGAAAGAAGCTGCTTTATTTTTCGGCCTGAATCAGGCGTTAAATGGAATTTTGAACCGTCGCTCAGCAAAAGGCTAGATCACACGGTACTGTGAAGGCTGCGTGAACGCATTTAGAAATAGGGATAAATGGCGCTCGAGCTACGCGAAACATTGTAGAACATTCTGACGTATTTTAAATCATAACTTTTATGCAACAAACAGCTAAAAACTACCTGTAGTAAAGCGCTGTCGTATAATAAAGGACCTTAACTGTAAAAAGTGTTCTTGCTATGCCATTGGCAATTACATAAACGATTTAAGTCAATGGTATATGAGCCATTATAAAGATGTGCTTAAATATTGTTCTCATTTCGTTGGCAAAAAGTGCATATTAACAATAGAACACAAAAGAATAAATATAACGTCGGTTACTCATCAACAAAGGTTGAGACATATATTCGATGCGGAAATCGTCTCGTGGTACCAGAGGACTAGTGTAAACACAATGAATTGAAAGTATAGTTAGACGATACGCGTACTTCTAGAAGTAAACAACTGTGATTTAACGCTTTATGTTAACTGTGACATTTGCTAGAAAGACGTTAGCAATGCCAGTTAAGGCCCGTGTTGTTTACTATCATATATCTGTCTAGTTTTTCCCTTTTCTATCGTATATTCCGTCTGAAAGGGCTCGTTATTATCCTTCAGTCGTATCGCACGGTGTTTTATCATGTGCTTAAACAATTATCTCGAATGGTAAAAAGAGAGTTTTTGGATATGTTCCATTCGCGCCGATATCCGAAAGCTGCCGAAATTGTCCGAAATAACCGAGACGTGCATGACGAGCACTTCATAGCTGAAAGGATTGCTAAGACGCGGCTCGCTAGGGCTAGACATGGAGCTTTCTATCTTATAGACGCTTCTACCTCGATGACGACTGCCTTAAACTACCATTGAAAAATGGTAGTTGTTAGATGGGTATGGACTTCTCAGCTTTTTCGACTTGTTTTTGCCGTATGCATAGGAAGTTTTCTGGGACGCTTTCGCACTTTAATGATATTGGTTAAGGGTCGATGTGACATATGCGAGAATGTCACCCGAGATATATGCCCTCGAAATCCGAACAGAAAAACAGAACTATGATAATGTAAAGAGAGTTAATTGTTGACTGTGTTTAGCACGTCATCGTTAGCAGACGAAAAACTGAAATATCCGAAAACAGTAAATATAAACGACTATTGTTTAATTCACTACCAAATAGTTACCGTCTGCTAGCATAAAAGCAAACCCTACCCCATAATCCCAGGCCGTTCGGTCTTTTCAATCGGCAATAAAGATACAATACAGATAATTAAACAATGTCCTCTATAGCATTAATTACGAAACAAGCTGCTATGGCGAAACTCGTAAAAATATCATCTAGTGTTGAGGTTCTACAATGGAAGTTAACGCCAAGTTGTTATTGAGGGCCATTTCTGACAAATTTCGCTGAAGGCCAAAATCTGTGATTCATATTCAACAATTACAGAGTATATATACAGAGGTAAAGGCAAGGCTGGGTCGTGTGAATAATATATGCAGTGTCCTATCAAGTCATTCGTATAGTAGCTCCCGCTATAAATATATGATAATTATTTGAGATTGAATAACCTTTGAACAACAGGCTACTAGCAGACGAAATTTGGCTGGTAAATGCTCCAGTTTTCTAAAATCTTCAGAGTAAAAACCAGTTGACTCAAGTAGAAACGATTTCAGAAGGGAAAACATTTTCCAGTCTTGAAAATCAAAGCTCAGTGTCAAGTTTTTGTTCCTCAAACGCCATAGCGCTGCGGAAATTTATCAACAAATGATGAAGACTAGTAAGAACGACTGGCAACTAGGCTTTAAACGAAAGCACAGTGGGGCAAACATTTCAAGAACGGAGATGAAGTGTTGAAGGCCACGAGGAGGTGAATAAATATCGGGAGCCAAAAAAACAAAAACGTGTTGCTGCAAACAGAGTCTGAAGCCTTAGGTTGCTCTCGGCTAAATATGACATTTCATATGTACCGGATTGCAGAATTAAAATATTGAAAATACAAAAAGTGAGCAAGAATAAATGACCCAGGCCAATTGGACGCGCGTTATGTGGAAGTTCAATCGGCAAAAAGCCCGTTTGGAGCATACGACCACCATAGACAAGGCATGCCTCAACCTCTACAACCAGCCGGAGAGGGACTAGACGAGGGCAGCATCGCTTAAGAGAAAAATCGAGTTCGGTGGCAGTGTCGAGTAGGTTTGGACGTTCGGGTGCAATAAGCATCAGTGGCGTTTGCTACTATGAGATATGTGCCGAAAATAAAGCAATAAATGCAGTCCACAATCTGGAGTCATTTGAGTGGCTCATCGATTGCTGATACCACAATCAAAAGCACACAGCTTTTAATTGAGTAAATAAGTATTCAACCCCTTTAATTTCCTAAGCTAAGTCCGTGTGACTACAGGGTTTTCCACGCCCTAAAAGGCAAGCAGGCGAGCAAGCAAACCCCACCATTGATTTACTTCGAGAAGCCACAGATAGAAAAATTACATATGGAAATACGTATAATAGGTATATGGCTGTTCAGAAGTCCTGTAGCAAATAAAATATAAAAAATGGGAGAGTACCCCCTAGACATATTAAAAACATCATTCTATTCCAGCTTATGTAAAGCTTATGAAATTTTATAATCGGCCGTATTTACCTATAACAAGGTAATATTTTCAATTAGCTAAAATTTCTACGGTTTTGTTCACCATTGCAATATATGTCCATATAATTACACTGAATTTAGCACTTAATCTAGTAGTTCAAATGAGGTTATGTTGTTTAGACACTTGGTCACATTTAAAAGAACAGAAATGACGAGTGTGGATTGGTTAGACTGTTAGAGCAGTCTCAGTTTCTCCGGTAAAATCTGTCATTTGCTAATAATTACTAAAGGACCTATCTAATCTTTTGCGGTATCCCCAGTGCGTAATTACTGGTCACAAGCACGAGACAGCATCTCCGCATTGACAATCTGTGTAGAATCGTCCACGCTTTCAAGCTATTTAACAGTCGGTACCTCCTATCATCAGGGTCTTCCAAATGCTACTTCTTTTAGTTCTTAAAAATAGGAAACATCTTCCCCCATTAACAGCGGGTATTTCAATGCGGACTTACCGCGAATGGTCTAACGTATATTCGCAACATGGTGGGTAGTCCAAGAAGGTAATTCCGATAGTGATCCTGTTAGGAGACGCAGGCAATAATAGCTAAAGCAGTAAAAACCGTACCAATAGAAATGAAAATTTCATCGGAGGAAAATTCATACGAAATTACCAAATCAAACTTTACGATTATAGCACATAGTAGGTTCAAGCCATTCGTTGTTCCCGTATTCGGTGTTGAGCAATATCCTTTTAGCGTATTGAAGAATATATTCTATTTTTTGTTGGTCCACGAAGCAGCAATCTCCGAACCACATGGACGAGCAATGATATAGGTATGCTGCTAATCTTGTATCACAAACAAAAGACTAACTTACCGACTAAGTTTTTCCCTTTTCCCACTTAGTCAACGATCAAACGCAAGCACTTCATAGCACACACACACACACACACACACACACGCATAGGCTATAAACACTGTGTCGCGTTGTCTATAATCATAAAGATGGTGATAGCTGGTATCTCGATCTCACCAGAGCTTCACTCTACACGACCATCAGTCATACGACGTCAATCGAGCGACCGCCACTCAATTTCAATGGGAAAAGGTCGCTGCGCTAGACTCTACCCAGGATGGACAACAGCGGTTCCCCACAATGTAATGCCGAAATATCCTATTCGTTGGGCTTTTATCAATATCCTTTTGCTATTGTCTTAAAACAAGCATCATAAGATGCACGTGGAAGCCATCGAGTTCATTTTTATGCATCTGTGATATATCGTTTGTTTGTTTGTCTGTGTACGTAATCACATCTGTATTACCAATACAGAACTCTATTATGCCGTAGATTCCTAAATTGTCCTTCTAAGAGAAGCGAGGTCGTACACTATGCCATATATCCAAATAAAATGTACCAAAATTATTAATCTTCACGATGCGGTAGAGGTAACCCAACATTTTACCTAATGACAGTTGATGTAACCAGACAGTAATTGAGCTTCCCGCTTCATAGGAATGATAAATAGGTAAACAGTTCACGCAAACGTGATTTGCCAGAGGATCACACACCTTAGTCGCTCGCGGTCGTAAGGTTAAGCATCTTTTAAACAGATTTCAACGTTAAATACTGCTAGAATAGCCTGCAGCTAGTGCAGTCGCGTTTAAGGAAAGCGCGATCAATAGAAAAAAGTGCCAACTGCTGCGAACAAACTTATCTGCTCGTGATAAACTTCAATTAAACCTGCTAACCTCGCATACATGGCGAGCAAGTAAAGACTTAAGGTGTAGAAGTTGTGTTCAACTACTAAAGTATAGTTGGTAGATCTTTCCGCCGTCTGATCTTGCGATTCCAGAAACGGTTCTACCGGCACGCATATTCACCGATCAGATATGTAGCATAGCTTCTGTGTAGTTCTGATACTGTATATGAAATAAGACAGGTATTGTTTAACTATTTCGTTTCTCATTCATTGAACTAGACGTCATGGTGAGGCATTGTAAACCGCAACGACTTTTGTTTTCAGCTGCTGTCATCAAGATCATATTTGCCACATGGCACGATACCGACAAGCGGCCGGGGACTTTTATTATTACTACTACTATTATTATAAATCGAGCTATATAGAAGGAACGACCCATTGCCTTTTCTCGTCGTAAAAAAATATCTTACGTATATTGACAGAGTAAATTTTAGAAGTCCCTTTTCTTTGGCCGACTTTGCCGGGTCTTTGTGCTTTGGTTTTATACGACTTTCTTCTTTTCACCAAGATCGCTATTCTTTTTTAGTTTGTTAAATACTGTACAAGTAGCTCGTCGCAATTAGCAAAGACTGCTTAGTGTTTGTGACATCCGTTGCCAATATCTTTATGACATTACGGGTAAATGTTGAAAGCATTTCTATACGCTAAACCACGAATACAAGAAAAAAGTGTCGACAACAAAAACGCGTCGGTCAACGGCGCGCCGACGCAGTCCTTCGACTCCTTAAGGCTGGATGTCACAGGAAGCTTACTCAAGAGGAGAACGATCCTCTAAAAAGGTTTACGGAAGCTCAGTACGTGCCGAACACTGTGACCTCTCACTCGGCCTAAAACAGTATTTGTGAAGAGAAGTGGTGCTGGCAGGAGCAAAACAGATATAATTGCATGAGCTCCATTCTAGGTTGGTAAACCCATGGAAAAGAAAATTGTTTTTTTTTACAGACGAAAGGCAAACCTGATTTCTTAAAAGTGCTGTTCGTACCGTCGGACATGTTGTGTGTGAAATGACGCCTAAAAAACAATCAGGAAACCCTTTCACGCATAACAAATTCGGCTCATAATAAAGTGTGATTATCGAAATTCCGTATGTAACTCTACGCATTCTTCTGAATATTTCAAATTCTAGTAACAGCGGGAACCATTAGACCGTTGAAACGATTTATGCATTAGGGAGTCTATCAAAGGAGCCACGAAGATGCCAAAGATTGTCGCCCGCTTTTTAAAGAGTATAAAGCAAATCAAACGCTTGGCGAAGTTTGCCAAAATGAGTCGTCCGAAATGTAATGATGAGATAATCTGGAGTCTGACTCCTGAGGAGCCGGACGGCGTATTCGCTGGACTTCGCGTAGATGAAAGATCAAAGAACGTACCGTTCCGTCTGTTAAGAAAAGAGGTTAGTGAGGGGTCTTGGCGTAATGTTGAGTGAACACAAACACCTACACTCCTACTACCCTCTACAAAACATCAACTCTTCTCTCTATTAACTTAGCTATATGCCTGTCGATCTTAAACGTATTCAACTAGACGAGATGAGTTCAAATGTGAAAGCAGATACCAAGTCGACCCCTTGCATAGTCAACGCAATATAATTACTACTATTATCGAGCGGTTATTAAATTAGATCGGCCAATCTTGAACATTGTTCCATAGAATCTTATAAATATTTCAATAAAGTTTCATAAAATATATTTTTTTCATTACTTGGCACTGCTTGAGCGCCTTTGATACTCGACGATATATGATTTCAAGCAGGAAATAACGTTTTCTATTAATGGGCTCAGTGGATTTGCGTGTAAACAACCGTCCCGAACAATCTGACCATACGTGACATATTCGAAGTTACCATACTTCTTCTGTCCAATTGCAGCCTACTCTATACTCTTTTCGAAATCTCCACACTCTATAAGCTATGCTTCTGCTTCTTAACTTACCCGTCAATGCATTATTTGAGGTTTTCCGGGGGATCGACCGCTGGGGTCCTTTTAGTCTAGACCCCTTGCACTCTCGTAATCGCTCACTTAATCCCTCCTCATATCTAATTTTGTCATTTATTTTTACGTTAAAATGCTAACCATTAGATCTCTATAGGCTGAAAATTTTTCTCCATTCTTTTAAAGGATATCGGTGTCCCAAATTTTCAAAATGTCTCTCATCAGCGATGCCCTTTATCCGTCACCTGGGTAATTCCTATTCCCCTGCCTTTTTGACTACCCCTACCTTCTATTCCAAACAGCTTAGGTAAACTAGACCGTCTCATTTACTCTTTATTAATGTGCTTATTAATATTATTAGTGTTTACATCATTGTACTTCCCATTTACATAAATGTTCTTGTTAAGCTTCTGCAATTGCACTAGATCTCAAGAGTCAATAACTATTAGATATTTTCTTATAGATACGGATGTGGTAGCTTAACATTGTTGCTGAAATTGCTTTTAAACGGAATCAGAATACTTCTTTTAATGCTTAACATAACACCTCAATTTTGCAGGACATTGTCAATGCTATATGCCGCATGCTGAATAGGCCATACAGAAAATTTGACTCCGACAAACCGGAGCGTAGTCAACAAAGACGATTGCGCTTTAAGCTTCCCATAGGTCCGAAAGCAAGAAAGAAAAGCCGAAAACAGAAGGTAAGTTTCTTATGAATATTAATTTACTTATTTTATCTATCATTTATTATATTTCGATGGAATAAAACGTCGATTGCCCTCGTTGAAGCGATAATCGGCCAGAAGAGTTAACGTGTTTCACTGTCTGCCATTGGTGTTGTTTCGTATAGCGTATGAGCGTAATCCGGAAGCACGCCAAATACACAGCCCATTATCTTGCGATGGGAGTCGCGTCGTCTGCTGCAGGATACGGAATACCGCCAGGATTTAATCCGAACGCCTTCATTTCGGCCGATCAACAGCACGAATACCCTGAGACATATACCCTTCAGCAACTTTATTGGATGACACAGCATAAAAGGGATTTGCACGCACTGGCCAATACTAGCATGATATGACCTGCTGTAACCGGGTTCTTTTCCGATTTACTCATCTCCGAGTCGCGTTCTAACACTGTCTGGTTGGTAGTTATAGATACGCAAGATTGCTTTAGACAGCTAGCACGGAACGAGACGTAACGTCAACATCGGCGTTTATTTCGGTACCCCAAAATTATTTTGCTAACCTAGGAACTTAGTTAATGTGGTTCATTTGCATTGTCTGCAGGACATTCTATTACAAAGAGTCACAAATAAATAAGTAAATGTTTTGTGTCCGATACCGCCGTTAAATGTTACTTCATACGGCCGGGTGTTTGCATGAAACCCGATTTACGAGCTACGCGACAATGTGTCCCGGTGAAACAGAAGCTACTGTCCTCTTAGGCCTAACTAGAGCTAAAAGCTTTTCTAATTAATAGGCCGCTGTAGCAGTTGATAGTAAAATGGGCATGGCATTGATCCGTTTGTCCTCACTAGTGCCTATTTCTAGCTTTACGTTCCAAAATAGTGATAACGTTGGCGACGAATTACTCACTTAAAAGTGACTATACGTTAGTACGGGATTTATTCCCTGAGAGAACGGATCCTAGGGTAAGGAAACCACTGGTCACAATGAGTGGCCACTACCAATGCATACTTTTCTCGAGACAGGACAATACATTATTCCACAAGAGCACCTATGTCGGAGCTCACTCTTGACGTCGGTTGTGTAAAAGACGAGCGCATGGGCTTCATCCCTTATCGTGCGAGGTAAGTGAGAAATCATCGGATTTGAATATCGTAAGACACAACAAAACAAGACTGTGAATAAATCTGTTTAAATACTTTTGCCAAAAATTTGGAGATGTGGCGTAACAGATGAACTTTCTCTCCATTGTGTCGTTCACAGATGCTAATTCAATATCATTGCTGTTTTATGTAAAACGGCAGACGCTGACACAATGAACGTGTGGGCAGTTGTTTGAATTGTAAATAAATGTACATATGTTTTTGATCAAAAGAAACGTTTTACGTTTATCAAAATTTGACATTGGGCTATGACATCTCCTGTTAATTAATTAATATATAAGTTTTTTTTTGAAAATATCAGAATTCCGACAAGATAATGAAATGTTGTACTTCCTTATAGTTTTCCATTCATATAGTATATAAAAAGCAGTCTCCCTTAATTTCATTTCTTGTTCGCTGCTAGTTAGTATTAGACCTATTTACTGATCTACTTAGGTAAAGTACATTTCTCTATTTGTTCATATTGTTTAATTAATTTATATAGTGTGTCATGAGAGGACATAAGGAAATTGTTTTTACTTAGAATGCCACCGTTAAGAAATATCCTGTACATGCTATTGTAAGTTTATAAAATGCTGAAAATAACAATCCAAGTTTGTTGTAGTGTAAGTGCGGTATCGGCCGCTTGGTTTCCTTTCCAGTACTAAAATGCGCATAGATTAGCGACTTTCGCCTTCTCCTCTAGACATGTACAGATAACTACAATGTAGATCCTTGTGCTAACTATTCACTAAAGACCTGTCGCATCACTCCCATACAATATTTTCTTATAGTGTCAAACAACAAACGCTTCGCTATTCAACCACTTCATGAGGTTGATCCGAAATTTTCAAAGCCACAAGGTTCTTTTTAACGTCACCCAAACTTGATCGTAATTTGAATTGCTTTTTCAAGCATCGATATAGGAAAACTAGGAACACTCTCTAAATGTCGCTTAGTTTATCTATGTCGCATAGATCAATATACGCTAGTTACGGTCAATTTCGAAACGTTCCATAATCGCCTGCGTATGACCTATTTGATTGACTTAAATGCGTCTGTTATTTTGTTCGTAAATAACTTCCAAGGCACGATAAACCTTGTACGGAGCATAAAATAGCACCTGAAAAAAATAAAAAAAAACACACATTGACATGATACTAGATATAATCTATTGCGTACAAGGATCATGATCCAGAAGGTCTGCGCCTTCGATGCAGCGCCTAAAAAGCTTTATGTAACATGCAGAATGAATTTCATTGAAAATAAACACTTTCTTATCATACACTTTTGCGAATGGCAGAAGTCTCCTACGATCAAGTCAAAATGTTGAGAGGCTGTTAGTCTCGATCCTCTGTAACACCATAATTTTATTCAGCTGTACGAACCAACGAAATTGCTTTCATAATGTTCCCTAACGGTTACAATCATAAGATTTACTGTGTGCGTTCCATATAGCGGGTATTTAATTACACATAAATATAAAAACCCCGATAAACCTTCCATGTGCTTTTTTTTTCGTTGGCGGAGTGCATTTGTTTTGATAAGAAATTCCCTTTCGACGTTTTGCAACATCGTGTTGTGTTTTACGTTAGTTCAGATAGTAAATCGCATTTCGCTGCGTGGAGTATGATTAAATGCTTGGTATTTGGTAAAATGTGCTCGCCGTCCAGGTAATACACGCAGATTTTTTGCGCACATGATGAAACCTACCGCTTGCGTCAGGAGTATCATGCTAGGAGCAGGAATGGGACTGCCTAGGTACGCTAAACTATCCATCAGCAGGGCCGTGTATCCTTTCGAACCTCTATATCAGCCCGAATGATGTACGACTAAAATTATCAAATCAAACATGTCACGTACAATCTAGGCCTTCTTACTTACTAGAGTGATGAGTTACAGCGTATGCAATCATTTAAATTTAAAGAGATGCTTTTTCTCTAGGCTAGTTGGCGACCCATAGACATTAAGTTAAACGGATGGCTGCAAGCCAGCCAGCCGTCAGTGTCTAACGTTGATACCGGACGTAAAATTCGAGACTAAGCCTATGTCCATTATTTGGCTTCTGTTGCGAAAACGTTTAAAGACCATATTTTCGGGTAGCTGTTTAGGAGAGATGTTTTCTATTCTCATGTATCAAACGCTCGAAAGGCCACTTGAGCGGCGAATGTCAGGTAACTGCTTCCGTATAGGTTCCGACACCTCCATGCCAGGCGAGACATTGCGAACAATAAGATAAAACATTTAAGTATTTATGTTCTTAGACTTCTGCATAT